TTCTGTCCCCTCCTCTCAGGGGGCTGCTTCCTGGAGGTTTGGGAGGGTCCCCGCTTTCTTACTTCTTTCCCTGCCCTCCTGTCACCAGCCCAGCAGGAAGGAGGGGAGTCGGGGCCAGGCTCTTGTTGGCCAACTGCAGGGAGAAAGGTGCCTGCAGCCCCAGTGCAGGCTGTTAGACATACCTTCTCACAGAGTCACCCCGAGAAGACACGCAGGCCTCCTGGCAGCACGCGCTGACTCACCGTCTCCGAAATCCAGGGTGGAGGTCAGGGCTGCCTGTGCCCTGCAGCACCGCACACCGCACACCGTAAGGGCCATCAAACATTAGAATGGGAGCCAGGAGAACGGATGAAGATGTGATGCTTATGTACAACGGAATGTGACTCGGCCATAAAAAAGGTTGAAAACTTGCCATTTGCAAGAGCATCGACGGAGCTAGAGGGTACTGTGCTGAGTGAAAGAAGAAAGGCAGAGAAAGATGAAAGCCAGACGAGCTGGGAATATTGTGTCATTATTAAGCACATAGCAAGCACTCGGTAAGTGTTCGCTGCTTCTGTTTAAACTCACACTGTGCTGTACGTTTAGATTCTGTTTATCCTCATTCAAGTCATAATCGTATGAGCTGCCTCCCTGCCCGAAGCCCACATCTGCACTTTTCTAAACCCAGAGCCGTTATCTGCTGTGGTTGGGTCCCCTCCGGGGTGGGCTAAGTATGGGCAGGATTTTGCTGGTGTTTCGTACTAATGTTCAGGCTGCCGTGGAGTGAATCCTATTTTAAAAGCCTACTCGGGTGCAGAATCCATTTATTTGCTCTCAAATTAGATGTTTGCCTCTCAGGTCCAAACCAAAACAGCAATGCAGTTTACCTCATCTGCTCCCCATTCCTGGCTCCCAGCCAGCGGACGCGGGCACTCAGCCCGTGAGCTTTCTTCCTAGGCCCAGGGAATCGAGCCGATCTGGAAAATTTAGTGATTTTCAGAATAACAAAGTCATTGCCTCTGGTCCATTTTACAGCGTTGACGGGAACGCATATTCGCTTGGAAACCGGTCACCAGAATAGGTGTGCCCAGCAGGAGGTGGGGCTGGTGGTACGACAGAGTTATTCTTTACACCTGGCAGGTGGGCAGATCTGCTCAAGGGCCTTTGCCCGCTGTGCCCTTGGCAAGCTTTGGCATAATTGGTTATCTGGATCTTATTGCTTTTTATTCCTGAGGGTGTCCCTGAGAATTCTACAAACAAACCAGGTGTCCCCTGTGGGGCCCGGTGACAGGAACTGATGTCCGAGGGTGGACACGGCCTGTGCAGGGGGCTGACAGTGGCTTCCCACGCGGGGAGGAGGACCCTCACTCTCCACGTACCGTTTCCAGGTAAGCTCTGCCGGGTCTTCATAGGTGTCCTTGCTGACCTTAGAGAGGCCACGAAACTGGTAAACTTCAATTTTGAGTAAGTATCTTGGAAATTGGGAAAACACAGGCAATATTTTTTTCATGATCCCTCCCTCCTTTCCACTCTCTAAAAATCAATGGAAATAATCCTGGGTGAGGATCAGCAGCAAGAAAACAAGAGTCTAGTGACGTTCGGCTGAATGTTCTGTGTGTATCCCACCTAAGGTGCTTATCTAACCGCTCTGTCCTCCGGAAAGTCCCTCTGGAGGAAACCTTTGGATTGGCCTCCTGGGAGGAGCAGCCTTAGAGCCAGAGCACAGCTCTTCTCCGCTGATTTCATCACTATGTGGTCCGACACGCTGCTCCAGCCACCTTTGTCTCCCCTCACCCTGTGAGCGGCCTTGGCCACCCCCACCCACCACGCGCACCCTTTGGCGCCTTTGTCTTGTTATATGTCTTTCCACAGTTATCTCCTCTCCCCAACTGAACAGTGAGTGTCGTTTTTTTTTCAAGTCCTCATCTGAAGATATTTTTTTCCATTGATTTCTGAGAGAGAATTGAAGGGAGGGAGGAGGAGGAGAAAGAGAGAGAGAAAACATCAATGTGAGAGAGACACACCGATGTATTGCTTCTGCACGCCTCCTACAGGGCTGGGGAACCTGCACCCGAGGTACATGCTCTGACCTGGAATCGAACTTGCCACCCTTTGGTCCGCAGGCCGCTGCTCTAACCACTGAGCAACCAGCCAGGGCAAGCAATGCTTGAAAGACAAAGGTGAGGGCTCATCATTCCTCTCAGGCATCGTTCCCAAGTACTTCTTGACCCCTGCTTCCCCCAGCGTCTGGCAAAGGCTGTGCATAAACAGCACTTGGTCAGTATGGGCCATGGACGGCTCCCCTCCTTGGAGGGGCGGGGAAGTGAGTTATGTGTGTCCCAGTCACTTTGGCCTGCAAGGCACACAGGTGGCACCGCTGGCCAGAACCTGGGCTCCCTCAGTCACTAAACAAAACCCATGGGCCAGAGTCCGGCACGTGGAGGGAAGAGCCGCAGCAGCTGTTTGCACTGGGCCTGGGGTGGTCTGCAGTGGCGGATGGGAGGATGCTTCTCTGTTCCTGCTTATCCGCTAACATTTGAAAAGTCACAGTTACGGGCTTGGTTCAAGGTAAATGGGCCCATCAAATGCACGTGGTCCCTGGAGGTGTCGTCCTTGGGCTTCCGGCTGATTAGCTCCCCGTGACTGGCCCTCAGGTTTGGCTGCGCGCAGGCCCAGCCTCTCCACTCACTGTGTGTGTGGCCTCGGCGAGCCATTTCATCTCTCTGAGCCTCAGTTTACTCATTTATGGCATGCACACTGGCCAGCGTTTAATATCCGAGTGAAAACTTTTGAGTTTCCATTTCTCAAATTGTAAAATGAAAATAACAATAAATTAGTGGATCGCATAACTGCCCAGCATTTTCTACTTTTTAAAATTCGCAAGTGCGAAGTGAGGTGCTTTGAACTTCACGCTAGAATTTTAGAAACTTTTTGGCTTGAAATAGAGACCAAACAAAGCTGTTCTGAGGCCACTGACACTCTGAGGGAGAAGTTGGGGGGCAGCGGGCTGGCCTTGGGCAGAGTCGGGCTCCGGGAGGGACTGCTCCGGGGTTTTCTTTGTTTAGATGCAGGTAAGCCAAGTAGCTGCTCGTGTTCTTAAAGGCTCACTCTGAAGTTTGTGAAGTAAGGCAAGTGCAAACATGTCAACCTGGGATTTTAATATTTTCAATCTTGTAAAATCACACACAGTAAGGACATGCAGAGAGAAAGGGTACAACTTTATAAAAATAGAGACTTGTTTCTCTCCCTCCACTTTTCCCCAGTGGGGAGGTGTTAAATGGCAGGTGATTAGTAAAATAAAACTGAAAATACCACCGCCCAGGGTTGCTGTCCACCACGCCTGTACACGCCATGCTCCACGCGTGTGGCAGGCGGCGTGGCTGCTGTGGCTGGGGTGGTCCACACCGGTGCAGCAGGAGCCACAGCACCGGGAACGCGTCAGCAGCACTGGTAACCCCGGTGCTGCCAGGTGGGCTGCACTTGTGGGGCGATCACTGTGAGCTGTATAAATGGCCAACCGCTGTGCTGCACACCTGGAACGAATGCAATATTGAGCGTAAAGTGTACATGGAAAATTACAGTGTAGCAGGGTGTCCCCTCGTCCCTGTCCAGCATGTGGCACTGGGGGGGAGGACTCCTGTCGTGCACAAGTGGGGGTGCTGAAGCCTGGAGCCCCCGAGGGTGTCCCTGGCCTCGTGCTGGGCAGGCCACTCGGTGCCCCTCTGGTCACTGCCTCTGACACCTGTGCCCTCAGCCCCCAGACCTTTCTCACTTTCTTTATTTCTCTCCTGGTGCCAATTCCTGTGTTGCTGGGGCCTTCACACAAAGGCATTCACTGAGCAGGCTTTTCCGTGGGGGCTCCTTAGCCCGTCAGGCTCAAGGCTGGGAGGGAAGGGGTTTAGTTTCCCAGAGGGCGGGAGGACCCAGATTTTGGAATCTTTGTGCAGGCCCACGGTGGGTGGTGGGTGATCTCCCTGCAGGACCCCTGCAGTGGGCGTGGGAGGTCAGACTCCGTTTCTCTCTCATATCTCACCCCAGGCCTCAACGTAACTATCTCTCCAAACCAGCGTTAGGCAGTGCGGGCGCAGCAGGCCCCTCCCACTGTCAGCCCAGGAATGACCAGTAAAGGATTAAAAATTGTGTTTCAATATATAGCTGAGTTCTGTATTTAACTATAAACTTCTATACCTGTAATATAAAGTGTTTGAGTTTTTAATTGGGCTGAAAAATCAGTTTATTTTGAAAAAGCTCTATGAACTCTAAGAGACTGCATGGTTTTTTTTGCTAAATGTAATAAGGAGGCCCTTCCAACTTCTCAAGGAATGTATTCCCAGATATTTTTGTGAGCGTCCCAAGTTTGTGAAACTACTAGAACATAATGCAGTGAGGTGCGATTACAGAATTTAAATGACCTCTAGAGAATTTTATCAACAACCTGGTAATGCTGAGACAGAGGCAAAACCACTGACTGCCAGGTGCCACCCCTTCTAACCCCTAAGTAATTTGCCTTACATACTAGCTCATCCTTTTCTGAGGTTCAAGTTCATGCCTCAGAAATTATTTGTCATGTTTTATTTTTTTTTTTAGTATACATTAGGAACACTTGAAAACTCAGGTGCTGGGGCGTCTTCTCTAGTATCAGTAAGTGTTTAGCAGAACTAACTCTGTAATAAATGGAATTCAATTCCACACATGGTTTGTTCAAGCACACTTAATAAGTAGTCTATTTTTTAAATGTAAATATTTGGATGACGTTTTTGTTTGTTTTGAAATATTCATTTGCTACATTAACCATGGTTTCAGAATTTACCATTTGAACAGTTTGGTTTCAGAATCTGTAAAATGAACTAAGAATCTTGTGTATCAATTCAGACATGTGAGAATATGTGTTTATAAAGCATGGATCTTGCAAAAAAAAAAAAAAAGATTTCCCAGAAGCCTCCGCGCGCTGCGTCATCAGGGAGCGCGGCTTTCGCTCGCTTAGCCGGCAGTGGAGCGGCTGTGGTGACGGCGGCGGCGGTATGGCGGGCCCGCTGAGCGTCGGCGTGAACCTGGAGGCCTTCTCCCAGGCCATCGGCGCCATCCAGGCGCTGCGCTCCAGCGTGAGCAGGGTGTTCGACTGCCTGGGGGACGGCCTGCGCAACAGGGAGACGCTGGAGGGCCGGGAGAAGGCCTTCATCGCGCGCTTCCGGGACAACCTGCACTCGGTCCACCGGGACCTCCACGAGCTGGAACGTCTGAGCAACCTGGTCTGCAAGCCGTTGGAGAACCACCCGCTCCATAACAGCGGCCTGCTGAGCCTGGACCCCGCGCAGGACAAAACCCCCCTCTACAGCCAGCTCCTGCAAGCCTACAAGTGGTCCAGCAAGCTGCAGTGCCACGCAGGCCTGGCAGCCGGCCTCCTGAATCAACAGTCGCTGAAACGCTCTGCTAACCAGATGGGAGCGCCTGCGAAACGCCGGCCCAAGGCGCAGCCCACCATGCTCCTCCTGCCGCCTCAGTATGTTGATGACGTGATCAGCCGCATTGACAGGATGTTTCCTGAAATGTCCATCCAGTTATCCAGGCCCAATGGAACGTCGGCGATGCTTCTGGTGACCTTGGGAAAGGTGCTGAAAGCGATTGTCGTCCTGCGGAGCCTGTTCATTGACCGAACGATCGTGAAGGGCTACAACGAGAACGTCTACACGGAAGGCGGCAAGCTGGATATATGGTCCAAGTCCAACTACCAAGTGTTCCGGAAGGTGACAGACCACGCCACCACTGCCCTGCTGCACTACCAGCTGCCCCAGATGCCGCATGTCGTGGTCCGGTCCTTCATGACCTGGCTGAGAAGTTACATAAAGCTGTTCCAGGCGCCCTGCCAGCGCTGCGGGAAGTTCCTGTGGGACGGCCTGCCCCCCACCTGGAGGGACTTCCGCACCCTCGAAGCCTTCCACGACACCTGCCGGCAGTGACCGCCCCTTCCCCCCGCAGCGGGTCAGAGGTCAGGAGTCAGACCGCCCATGGGCCCCCCCCCCCCCCCCCCCCCCAGGACAGCCTGGCTCTGAGGCGGAGCCTCCGAAGGACAGACTCCGTCCTGGTGGATGGGACACCTTGCGGGCGGCACAGCAACCTTAGACCCGGGATGAGGGTACCGGCGGGCTCGGTGGTCGCTCTGCCTCCCGGGGAATCGCCCTGGGGTCGCGTTCCCAGTGTTTTCACTGTGCTAGGGTGAGGGACTGAGGCATGGAAGGGTTACAGAATGTGCTAGGGGGAGGGACGGTTACCTATTGTATTAGGGTCCGGGATCGTGACAGAGAAAAGTTGCCAGATTGTCTCAGAAAACAATGTATTCTGATTCAACCCAGCCAGGTGTGACTCCGTTTACCTCCCCATTCATACTTGTAAACTTTGTATGAACCCCGCCAGTGCCAGGAAATGCTTTGTAGTGTTACAGATAAAAGCTTTGCTGTACCCTCGGTCAGCACTGCAGTATGAGGTTCCCTACAGGAGGGACGAACTGTAGTCAGCTGGCCAGCTTAATAAAGGCTCCTAAATTTAAATTCTGAGTCGGTGGTCTATCTCGCTGATTGAACCCATAACACCACAAGCCCGTGTTCGTGCAGTCATGCTAGCGTTGTGTTTTGTAACTTATTTTTATGACAATAAACCTGTCCCCATTCTCAGGCATCAGGAAAGAAGAGGAGCAGAAGCCTGGGTGGTGGTGGGAGGATGCTGGGGGTGGGTGTGGGGGGCGCGGGACCCAGGTGAAGGCCTTCCGGACCTGGCAGGAGTTGCCCTCTGGGGGCAGGAAATGAGACCTCAGGCCTGAGGAAGGTGGGGAGTTGAAAGGAGCCTCCTGCTACGCACTGGGAACCTCAAAGGGCTGCCCTTTCCTTGAAGGGAGACCAGCGCCCTGGGGGTTGGCTCTGCCATCTGTTTACCGCGGAAACCACGTCGCTTGGAGAAGTCAGGATACTCCGCAGGCGTGAGGAGTGCGGGACGGGCATCCAGTCCAGTTTACCCTCCTGTGCAGTGCAGGACGCCAGTTTGAGAAACGGAAGAGATAAGTGCTCCAACCAGTAAAATATTAGGGTCCCAGCAGAGGCCTCTGTGGGACCCCTCCAGAGTGCACCCACATCCTGGGCATAGAAACCCCATAGGAACCCCCTGCTGCCAGGAGCTTAGAGTAAAACCTTTCAGGCTGCACGAGGAAACAAATTCCCAGAGAGGAGGGGATTTGAGACAGGACATAGTAAGACCAATACCCCAAGAATTAGAGAAATCAATAATGTAAAAAAGACGTAAAATAAGACTTTAAAACTGTGGCCATTCTGAGTCCTTGCTATAAGCCACACCCAATTATAAGCACCTCCCTGTGTTACTGTCCTGGCCGGGCCGGGAATCTGAGATGATGACTGCCCACCTGTGGGGGAGAGGAAACTGAGGCACGCACTGGTTAACTGAGGTCGCGCAGGAAATGGGGGAGCCAGGCCCAGACAGCAGACTCATCACAGCACTTGTCTCCTGACCACTGTGACCGGGACCTGCTTTCCTTCCCGTGGAGACAGGATCCCAGCTGGGCGTGTGGCCGCACATCCCAGGGACGCCCGGGGACTGAGCAGGTGACTCGGAGCTGTACCAGGCGAGACGGAGTCCTCTCTGGAGCTAGTGCTTTTCCTTTTCCTGAAGGAAGAGCTGGGGGTGAGAAAGCTGACCAGCGGGAAGACGCACACAGCCCAGCTGTGACAACGACCCGCACAGCTGGGACCCTCACATGGCCTCTTAGTCCTCCACACACTTCCCTAAAATCCAGTCTCCTAAATGAGTGACCACATAACCCAGAGACATACCCAGCCCGGGCTCCTGGCCCCTTTACCTCCAGCATGTTTGGGACAATGACATTCCAGCAGAGTCAGGGCGTCTGGTGTCCCTCGAGGGGAAGGGCCGAGGACTGGCCCTGCTCCACCAGTTGGGCCAAGTGTTTGAATGAGGATCCATTCATGTCCTCTCTGGGCCCTGATCCCACGCATGGTCCTCATTTATCCTATTTCAATCTAATACTATGCCCATCCTACAGGTGAGGAAGTTGAGGCTCAGAGAAGCCGTATGGAAGGACACACAGCTAGTAAGTGGTAGAGCCGGAATTCACTGCATCGGCAGCCGGGCTCCGGTCTGCCCCCTCCAGGCCTGCCTCCCGCGGCTCCTGGGCCTCCCGGGACCAGGTGCTGCCTTTAAGCTGAGTTTCCTGACGAACTGGGCTCGGCTGGGCCCAGGCTCCTTTGTTTCCCAAGCCACAGGAGGGGCTCAGGCACACGGTGGTGCTGGGCTGCCAGGGCGGGGTCCCTGCACAGTGCCGGTAACATCTGAGTGTGCAGCCAGCCCCGGCCCTGTCAGCGCTGGTCACCGAGGGGGCTTTGTTGGCGAAAACAGGCCCCCAGGTCGCAGGTGGGAAAGGCCAGGGACAGCCAAAGGGGTGAACTGAATCTCCTGGGCACCCAGAACCAGCAGATAGAGGCGCTGCGGCTGCAGACCGGCTCCCCAGCCCCCGCGCTGCCCCCGGGAACGCTGTACTTCACGCCAGCGTGCTTTGGCCTCTGCTTTGGCTTCTGCTTTGGTGGCATTTACTAACTCTGTGGAAGCAGCCATTGCTCACTGCCCTGATGCTCAACAGGAAACCAGACCAGTCGTTGAACCCAGACCTGCCCACACAGGGGGAAGTCTCCGACGTCCCCACAGCCTACAAGATACCGGACCACCTCCCCTGCCTGGGAGCCGGGAGAAGCCAGGTTCCTCGAGGTGGAGCTGAGTCCCAGGTAGCAATCTCTCTGTTACACATACATCAGGGCCCCCGATCCCTCGTGATAGACAGCTATCTGGTTTATCAGTTTTTATTGCTGTCGTATCTAGTGATCCCAAACTTAGCAGCTTAAAACACTGGGATACGTGGTGATGGAAGGAGACTGGACTTGCGATATACGATATGCAGATGATGTGTTAGAATTGTACACCAGAAACTTATAATGTTATTAACCCAGGTCACCCCAATACATTCAACAAAAAGGAAAACACACCCATTTATCATCTCCCAGCGCAGGCAGGCGTGGGGGCTCAGGCAGGTCTCTGCTCCTGGGCTCAGGAGGCAGAAATTGAGGTGGAGGCCTAGCTGGGCTCCCACCTGGCGGCTCAGCAGGAGCTGCTTTTAGGCCCACTCAGATGTCGGAGGACCGGTTCCTGCGGCGGGAGGACTCGCTCCCGGGGCCTCGCTGGGTGATCAGGTTGTTTCACTCCCAGAGGCACGTGGTCACTGTTCACTGCAGCCTTATTCGTAGTAGCCGAAGGAGAAGGACCTGCGACAAACAGATAAAGAAGAGGCACGTGTGTACATGTACAGTGAAACATCACTCAGCCCGAGACAAAGGCAGCCTGCCTTTTGTGACAACGTGGATGGCCCTGGAGGACGTATGCTGGGCGAGATGAGCCAGAGGAAGACAGCTGTGCAGTTAGACCTCACATCGACTTTGTGCGAAAATGAACGTTTCCAGTCATGACCTTCTGCGCTTGTGCGGACACGCATCCCCTCGTGTTCACGGGCATCCACGGAGCGCTTACTATGTGCCTGGCACAGGGAGTCAGAAATCCCGCTCCCACGAAGCACGCACCCCAGGACCCGGAGGACGGTTCGGAGCGAAGGAAACGGCTGACAGAGGCTCCGGGGCTTGCCGAGGCCACACTGCGGGGAAGTGGCAGGAACAGGATCCAGCGCAGACCTCCGTCCTGCGGGCGGCCCTTCTCGCCCTGCACAGTGGCTGCCCCCACAGAGCATCGTGGGCTGATGCAGCCCGTGACCAGATTCGGTGGGTGCTAACCTCGAAGCTCTTTAAGTTGGAGCGTGGGCATTTTGACCTCGTTTGTGTGTCCGCGAGTCTTTGGGGAACCCATCCCTGACCATCCATTCAGCCTTCTCTCACCCAGCTTATCTGTAACCTGAGACTGTGGCTCCCCAGAACAGACGGTGAAATATGCTGATTTTATTTATGACTTGCTATAGCTCCAGCCCAGCGACGGAGGATGGCATAGTTGGAAAGGGGAGCCAGAATGGAGCTCTCAGGCCAGAGTTTGAGTTGGTCCTGGCTTTGCCCCTTGGTCTGCAAGCAAGTGTAAGCCTCAGTTCCTCATCTACTAAGTAACAACTGCCTTATGTTTGCTTCATGGTTCAATTAATGCTTATGGAACACCCTCGTGCCCACTAGCTAAAAGGAGGCCTCTAAGAGAACTACCAGGATGCCTCTGCTGAGCATTTGTGGGGAACAGAGAACTGTGCTCTGCAAACCGTTGGACCTTGTATGGGAGTAACTTCTGCCCTGAAAGTCAGCCGGGGCATCTCACACCCTCCACTTTGGCTCCTAAATTCTGAGGCCTTTGCTCAGTTTCCTCATGTCTTTAGTTTAGATACTGCCCAGCTGACTGCCCCC